TGAACTGCTGTATGAAAAGTGAATTTACTCTGTAAATCTTCACCCAAATCCTAATTAAAAAAAAAAAAAAAGAAGCCTGCACAGCAGAAATTCTTGATTTAACTGTAAAAATGGTGTGGTGGAGCCCTCCTCTAACTTCAGGAAGGGGGGACAGAATGAGCATCAGCATCAGCCCCAGGCTGATTCTTATGAAGGGGAAGTCAAACATATTTCCATCCTACAGCGTTTTCACCAATTCTGACACCAGCCATCCCTCCCATGGCACTCTGCTTCTCTACTGGGTTTGATAATTCATTGCAACGGCCACACAGAACTCATAGACAATACTCACGATTATAGGGTTTATTAGGGAAGTAACAGATTACTTACAATTCAGGATCATTCAGGAAACAGTTCTTTGATCAGGAAAGCCTTTTCTCAGCCATGCCCACAGGCAGGCCCAGCCTAGCCTCTACCCTGCTTGGGCAAGTATTACAAAGCTCTTTAGCTACACCAATAAGTGCTCAGAGGCAGCCCTCTCCTTTAGTAAGCCTTGGCTAAAGGCACTGAGATCTTTCACTCTATGGGCTGGCAACCCTAGTTCCATCCAGTGCCCAGAGGCACCCTACTCTGACAGCAAGCCTCTTACACCCTATTCTGACAGCTCTCTCTCTGTGGGCCAGGAAGCCCACTCTGCCATTTCCTGCTGGTCTCCTGTCTGTTGTCAGTGCTCCTCTGCCACTGTTTCTCGCTGTCTCTCTCTGTGGTCTAGAAGGTTCTCAGTGCAGGGGTCTCAGGTAGAAAGGACGCTCTCTGCTCGTGTCTCTTCTTCTTGGTGGTAGTCAGATCCCAAAGACAGCTTGCCTGGCATAGTCTTTGGGACACTAATGTCTTGTCTCTTCTCTCTTGTCTCCTCTCAGGATGTGAAATACTCTGATTTGAGTGGGGGAGCGGCTCTCTGAGGTCAGGTGGGTTTCTAACCCTTGCAGAACCTGTGTCTCAGTCCCCTGCCAATCTATGGCTCCCCTGAAGAGAAAGGAACTTCTCTGGGGACCTAAGACGGTGCAAGTGTATGTGTCAGAGGTTGTGCGTTATGTGTGGGGTGGGAGGGACAAAAACACAGAGACAGCAGCCTGTGCATAGCCATTGTGTTTTATTGGATCTGGTGTATTTCTTATTTTAGAAAATATACAGAAGAGCCAAAAATGCAAAGCAGTCTGAACAGTCAACAGTGTTGATGGGAAAAGGGGTTCTCTCCCTCAGTCCTTGGCTGGGATGGTAACTGAATGGGACAAGCAGGTACAGTAAGGGACGGCAGCATGGCAGGGGTGCTGACAGTGAGATGGACCCTGGGTTCTATAGTCCCTGCCCTCTGAGTATGATCAGGGCAGATTGGGTAGAGCAACAGAAAACCCTAGTTGGGAACTGAGGCCACATAGGGGTTTGAAATGGAGGAGCCTGGGTGGATCAAAGATTCCAATGAATGCCTCCACACATGGATTCAGATGCTATGTCTCCCTCCCTCCCTCCCTGTCCTTCTAAAGCATTCACTAGGGGAAGTGATGGGATCTCAAGTTCAGGAAGGTCCCTGACTTGCTCCATGCCTCCAAATCTAAAGGATATAGCAAATGAAAATAGAGCAGCCAATATGGGTGACGATCAGAGAGGGTAGACTGAAATTTTAGCAGGTATCAGCAAGGATATCACCCCACCTCCCCTGCCGCCACCACCACCACCACCACACAAGCAGGAAGGAAGGAGAGGAAGGAATTCCAGGAATGAGCCAAACATCAGGATCTCAGGCGCTCCTATACTGCAGAGGGTATGGAAATTTCTGGAGTACTTTCAGGGAGATTAAGTCTTCTGAAGAGCCTGGGAACTCATATTCCGATGGCCTGGGGCAGCAGGGCTATGGCCTGACATGGCTAAGCTCTCATTGACAATCAACCCAGGGCTTTCTGCCCTCTGTCCCAGCCACCTCTTAAGTCACAGCCACTGGACCAGGCCTAAGACTCCTCCCTCTACATTCTTGTCCCCCTCCCACAGAGTTTTCAAAAACTGGTCTGAAAGGCCAGCTAGTGCTAAGGACAGAGCATCCTCCCTGCGAAGGGAGTCTTAGGGGAAGTGTTTATGAGATCAGGGCTGGGGGAAGCACCATAGCAGGAGACGGTCTGTCTAGTGTCGTGCTTTCTACAGGCAGTGGGAGCTGGGGTGACCACTCATTTCCCACAGCAGGGGTGCCTTCAGCACATGGGTGTCAAATGGGTAGGGGGTGGGAGTTCTAGACCCTGGGAAGCACCCCCCCAGATGGACTCTGCCAACTCCCTGGCCCCGTCAGCTCCAGTGATGCGGGCTACTATATCCCCAAGCTCTTGGTTCCCTATAACCCCATAAGGTGGGGACAGACCTGGGAAGAGAAGGGTGATGTCCATCTGGACAAGGGCTAGAGCATGGTCCTCCCAGGACACACTGACCCCTTGTTCCAGGGAACTAGATGACATTGTCAAAGAGCTGCATTGACCTCATGATGTTCTCATCCTGGGGCCATGGTGCGAAGGAGGCAGATTGGAGAGAGAGAGAGGGACACTGAGTCAGAGATGGAGGTACTCAGAGACAGACAGGCATTCAGGAGGGAGATGCTCAGAAAGACCTGAAGCAGGGAAGGAGGCAGGCTTCTTCCAGGTGTGAAGGAACAGGGTTAGGGTATGGGGTTGGGCTGGGCAGTCTATACTCTGCCCAAAGGAGCCTTCCCTTATATCACTGAATCAGGCCCTGAGTCTACACCAGGAAGTATGGAGGGAGGGTCCTGTACCTTTTGACAAGACTCAATGAACTCCTCAATGGTCACTACACCATCCTTGTTCCTATCCATCTTCTGTAAGAAGGTGGTCAGGCAGGAGAACAGGAGAGAAGGCAGAAGAGAGGCAGGGAGAATTCAGGTAAGTTACACCTCCCAAGACTTTGTCTCCTTCTCTTTACTCCAAGACCTTCCCACCTACACAGTCCCAGGCACCTGAAAGAAGCTCTCCACATGTTCCCTGGGAGCCTCCTCCCTGAGTGCAGGATACGTGTATTTGCCCATCATGTCATAGATGGACTTCATGATGTCAAGCATTTCCTGTTGGGCCAAGAGAGAAAGGGATCCCTCTTTAGAGCTTCCAGCCTCCAAACCAGAAGGGCTGGAGCTGAGGGCAGACCTCACCCTTTGCTGCACATGGAGGTGGTGTTTCCCTCCCAGGGGCCCTTTGCACCCCACATACACACTGCCCCCAGCCCTTCAGTGGCTCCACACCTCCTTGGTGATGCAACCATCCTTGTTGAGGTCATACAAGTTGAAGGCCCAGTTTAGCCTGTCGTCAACGGTCCCCCGAAGAATCACTGATAAACCAGCCACAAAGTCCTGGAAAGGAAGCAAGGGGAGCTGTGTCTTCAGGTAACCTCCACCCAATCTTCTGTGTTTGGTCTGGAGATCCCCACCTCAGAGCCTTGGGAAACAGGCTTCCCTATCCCACCTCTCCTAGCTCACCTCAAAACTGACTGAGCCATCATGATTGGTGTCGAAGGCATTGAAGAGAAAAGTAGCATAGGTGCTGGAGTCTGTAGAAGGAGTGTGCAGAAGTAAGCTTAGCTTCCGGACAGGAGAGGATTTCCTGCTTGTGTGGGGTTCCTTAAACCCCTGTCTCATCACCGTGGCATTCCCAGCCCCTCCAGAACCCTCTCTCCCACTTGGCCTAGAAATGGATAAGCTTGCCTCCTGGACAGCTTGCTTCCCCTCTGGCCTTGCCAGCTCACCTCCTTGAGGAAAGAACTGGGAGTAAATCTGCTTGAAGTTCTCCTCATTGACAATTCCACTCGGACATTCCTGAGGGGGGAGGCAGACGGGGCTGAGGGCAGACAAAAACTCTTTTCGGCACATCCCCCCATCTTTCAAGCCCCCAAACTCCCAAAGACAGGAAAAATCTTCACGTCTCCAGGAGACTCAACGCTCAACTCTTGTAATAAGACACAAAACAAAACAAAACAAAACTCTAAATTATTGAACTGCCCATCTGCAGGCTCCGCTCTTTACTAACCCCACCCCTTTGAAATAGGCCACGCCCAGGAGTTCAATCTAGAAGGGCCTCCCTTCCCACTCACCCCTCACTGTTTCTGGGAAACCCTGGTTAAGGAAACAGAGCTCCTGCCTCAACCCTCCCCAAGTTCTGGCTAGCTTGTACTCACGTTCTTGAAGCCCCGGTACAGGACCTGCAACTCCTTGCGCGTGAACTTGGTTAGCTCCTGCAGCTGCTCCAGACCCTCAGGCCGGTGACAAACAGTGGACAATTCAAACTCATCCTCCACGCTGTCTGCGGGGGGCGGTGGGGAGGGGGGACGACAGCCGCGCCTCAGGCCCGGCCCCTTCGCCCCCTCCTGAAAATCATCGACCCATCCTTCCCCCCACTCTCTAACGTCGGAGGCCAGTCTGCCTGTTCCCTGGACCCTGAACCGAGGACATCAAGGCAAGGAGAAAAGGCACTGGTCAGCTTGAAGGTCTATCAGTGAGCCTGGCCCAAGGCCAGACCTGGCCCCAGAACCAGGAGTCCGACTCGGCGCTCACCCCTGGGCCTTTGATCCCTGGTTGGAGGGGAAGACCCCTACCCCATCTTTGTCCCAGAAGGTGAGGAGCAAGAAAAGCGGATTTAAGGACGGGTGTCTAAGAGTTTGAACTCCAGGCCTTTCCTGATCTTTTCAGATCGCAACTCCAGCCTTGCCCCTCCCAGAGCCTCAGACCCAGATAAGCCCCGCCCAGCCCACCCAACCCCCAGCCATGCCCCGCCCAGCCCCAGCCATGCCCCGCCCAGCTCCAGCCAAGCCCCGCCCAGCTCCAGCCAAGCCTCGCCCAGATTCCCGCCTCTGCACAGGCCTCTGGCTAAGCCAAAGCGAAGGCCCCACTCCAGCCCCCAACATTTACTCCCCAGGCAAGTGCCCCCACCCAGCGCTCCCGAAGCCCCCCGTCCCCACCAGGAGAGTAAGTCACCTGGGTCCAGCGGGCGGGGTCTGTAGGGGTGGAGGGAGGCTGGGGCGGCTAATGCTGAAGGGAGCGAACTGTCACCGAGAAAGCGGAAGACCCAGACAACTGCAGACACACGCCTCGCCCCTCACACTCAGCAAATCTCACAAACTTTTGTGTTATAATGCACACATCCCAGCCCCGAGCGCAAAGGCATACGTAATGAGCACAGACATACACGAAACGAACCGTACGCACACACGCTCGAGGGACTGATTCATGCCCCTCCTTTTTCTGAATCTACTCTTGTGGGGGATACAGCGGCAACAAACACAACGATACACTCAAATAATTACAAAATGGGCCTCCATAGTTTGTAAAAGGCAGTATGAGGTACATAGGCCCAGCTGAGGACCTTGTGACCTAGAGACAAAGAGTGAGGTCACTCAACTAGAAGTCACTTAGCTGGGAGCCAGACTGGGAGTAGAAAACCCAGGTATCCTGGCGTCTAAAGGAAGGCAGGCTACGTCCTCTGCACCTACGTCCATCCTGCTGGCGATATACATTTCCAGGCCCAGAACATACCCAAGGGCGAGGCGGCCACACAGAGTTGCAGACACTAGCCCAGCTAAGCCACGCACAGACCTCACAACCTCCTAGTCCCGCCCCCGCCACACTGATCACACCCACACAGGCTCAAGCCTCAGCCGGGCCACACTGGCTGCACCCAAACACTCGGTGCGGCCAGACTTCTGACCAGTGAGGCTCACAGACATTCTGGCCCCGCCCCAAAACTGACCACGCCCACACACTCGCGCTTCAGCCGCCCACCATAATCAAGGCACCCTCACACTCTGGCGGGGCCAGAGCTTTCTCCACCTCCGGCCACACTGGCCACGCCCACACGCACTCGGGCCCAGACCCCGGAAGCACAGGAGAGGCACTTGCTTTCACTGACTGAGGGCAGAGCTTGGGGCCCGCAGCACGGCAGCAGCTTGAGGAACCGCTGCTTCAGCGCTTTTTTAGTGGGCCCTGGAGGGTGGCCTGGGAAGAGAGAAGACCCCAGGAAGGCACATTAACCCCCACGGTACCTCTGTTCCCTATATCCCCTCCCCAACAGTCAGAAATCAACCCAGTCCGGGCGGAGGACCTTAAGGGAGGTAGGATTGGAATGGCAGGGTAGCAGGGGACCGGGTTAGGAAAGCCCAGTGGGTCTCACTGGTATGGGAAGTCCATCAAGGCGGCTCCAGCACTTTGTATAATGGGACGCAGCCTAGAGATAGTGAGACGGCAAGGGAGGGGGAGTGGCCTTAGTGTCTGACCCAGTGCCCTTGACGCCATTGCCCCAGTGGACCTCTCAGCGTGTGGTCCAAGCCAGGGACTGCCTGGATAGGAACACTTCTCTCACGCACACAGTGACGGGAATATATAGTGATACGTAGAATGATAAATCACGTGATGGATGCCATACAGTAACACACACCTGATGGTTGAAGGAGGTCCCCATACGCGCGTGCCGCACACACAAACACATACACGCACTAACACTCCTTAACACAAACACATACTAAAATAACCTAAGTAACACATGATACACACATCTAAGAAATCATATAGGCCATCTTACACAGGGTATGATCAAACCACACAGAACATACAATGGCCCTGGAACACAGTGACACATTGTGTTAACGACACTGTGACCTCACAACATTATGACACACAAACCAAGGTCACCATGACAACTAACCATATTAAATTGTGACCTAGGTGCTCATGGCACCCATCTACCCAAGGCTGTACCTTGTCCACAGAGCCTGCGTTTGTCCTCAGCACATCCACCTTTCCTTCCTGTAACCCTTCATTCCAAGGTACCCAGAATCTGTCAGAGGAGCAGGGTCTGATCAGCTAACATCCTAAAAGGTGTCCCAGCCTTTCTAGTAGGGCTTGTTCTTTGAAGGCAAAATGATAGCATAATTTGAGGCAATAACAGACCTGTCTATGTCTTGGTTACACCCATTCCCAGACTCCAAGACCTAAGCCTGGGACCAAACCTAGTGCATTGGCTAAAGATGGCCTCAGTCCACTCCAGGAGAAGTCCACCTTTGCTTATAGGTAACTCTTCCACTTCAGCCTCCACACATATCCCTCCCAAGCTACTGAGCCAGACCCTGCTCCCAGGGAAGTAACTTCACGAAGTCACCGTCTTCCTACCCACCCCTAAGCACGTCCTCCAACCCTAGATGCTACTGAGAGGTGGGAGGGAGGCAGTGAGCCGTGCTAGGGATCGATGGCAGCCTGGCCCCAGGCCCAGGGCTCCATTAGCCTGGACTTTGGTTTCCCGAAGCCGAGTTGTGCCTGGGGCTTGGGGTGGTGTAGTAGTTATGGGGGGGGGCTGCTTCCAATGCCTCTCCCCCAAGACCAATTACCTGCCTCCAGGCCTTGGCCCCTCTTGGTTCTTCAAAAGGTAAGACAAAGGAGCTGCCTTCAGGTAAAGAACACGTGGGTTTCTCCCGTGGCCTCTTTCCCCACCAAACAGTCTAAAGGGGATGGCAAGTCACCCAGCTGATTTCATCTTCTTGGGACTCCTGAGAACAAACTCAGCCTTCTCAGTTCATTTAAGTCCAACACCCTGCTCCCCATCAGCCAATAAATGCAGCAGAGGGTAGAGGGTGGACTAGGAGTCTTCTGCTCTTTCTGAACCCTAGAGCAATTCCTGGACCTCCCTATGTCCCCAACTTCCTCTACATCTTTCCAGTTCTCTCAGGTATCTACCCTGCAGCCCACTTAACATAGTTCTTGTCCGTCTTCCTGTCCCAGGTGGAATTGGGAAATAACCATGCTATGGAGCTGCACAATTCTTGATATGAAGAGAAGGGGGATATTGAATTTTCTAGGGGAGGCACAATAACCTCCCCTCTCCACCTCCAAAACCACTCTTGAGAGTTGACTTTGGGGTAGGGTGGGGTGGAGAATTGATTTCCCAATGCCAGTGCCAATGCCCTGGGGACCATTCTGCCCCTGGGTCCTGGGAGGGGGCTGGAAAAGCAGCATCCCCCAATCGGAGCTGAACTATAAATGTCTCATTCACAGTGTTCCCACTCCTGTCCTTCCAGACTTCATCCCTGTCTCCAGCCTTGAGTAGGAAGCTGGTGTATCCTCAGGAAAGTCTGGGAACAGCCACATACACACTCAGTATCAAAGCGGCTCGGCCACACACTCTGTCCCCCCAGGCACGCTCCCGTCCACCATCTCACACAGTCACACATACCCTGTCACATACACGCACACCCTGGAACCTACCCCTGAATGACTGGAGGTGTAGAGAGATACATACATCTTCAGAGCCACCATGGGCCTTTGGCTCCAGAACTCTGGTATTATCTGCAGACCTCTGGAGCTTCCTTCTTCCACTCCAGACACTCCTGCCTGTTTCTAGACCCCTTCCTCATGTCCCTCAGGTTCCCGTCACTCCTCACCCCTTATCACTTCCCTCAGATGGCCCTCCCCTAGATCCTGTGAAGGCCCCCCTCTTCATCTCTGGAAGATGCCCCATCCTACCACTTTTCTGCTCAGCCCTGCCCCAGCCTTGAAGGTAGGATCACTCCCTCCCCATCCACCTCCAAGGCTGCAGGGTAGCTGTCCCTCCAGCCCAAACACACCCAGGTACCTGGGTTACCTTCCAAGGAGACAGGCTCAAAGAGGCCAAACTGCTCCAGAACCTTGACAAACAGAGCGAGGACCACGAGCACAGCGACCATCTCCAGCCCTTCCAGGTTCATGGTGGGCCAGGGGCATGGCCACCACCCAGCGGAGGCACAGATGCGCCAGCCCACCGGCCTTCCACCACCTCCCCCTTAGGCTCCCAGGGCTGGAGTAGGACCGCCTGCAGCCTCCCTCCGCCTCCCCGCCCTGGCTCTCCTCCCTCTCCCCCTCACCCCCGCCTCTGTCCCACACGCCTCCCAGCCACAGCCGCCGCCTCTTCCTCTTCCAGGGCCACCTCAGCCTTTGGACCTGCACCTCCTTGGGAACCTTTGACTTGAAGGATACTGGTCTGGTCTGGCCAGGCCAGAGGAGGGAGGTAGTGACCTGCCTCTGTCGCTGAGCACAGCTTCCCAAGACAGCTTTGTGACTACTCTGTGCACAGGGAGGGGGCAGAGAAAGAAGCTCCCTTGAAGGAGAAAGCGCTGAAGGGCAGTGTGGATGTATGTGCAGGAGACACCTAAGCCATATCTGTGCAGACAGAATACACTGTGGGTGTCTGGATGCTTTCCCGAGTGTCTATTTCTGTGTTGGTCGGTTTGGGAGTGTATCTTCTCTCATGTGTGTCTGTGTGTGTACAGGTGAGTGTGTGCATGTCCATCAAGTGTGTTTCACATATGGTCATGCATTTCTAGTCTTGTATATACTGATACGTAACCTGGGTGTCTAGGAGAGTGTGTCAGAATATTTCTGAGTGTGTATAGGGTGTGAGGTGTTTGTGTGTTAGTAGGGTTGTGGGAAGTGGGTCTGACGATTGGGAGAGGTGGGTGTGTTGTGTACTCTTACCACCATGGAATTGTCTGATCTGTGTGTATGAGAATGTAAGGCAAGCGTGGGGGAGGCAGTGACCTCTCCCATCAGGAGGACACCACCAGCATCGATTGAGGTTGCCATGGAGACTGTAAGGCAGGAAGCACTCTCTTCCCGCAGGCCACAGGCAGGGAGACTGAGGCCCAAGGGAAGGAGGATTAGATCCAATAGCCTGGACAGGAAGAGGGTTACTTGGCCCCATCTTGACCCTCTGGGGAGGGGATTTCTTATTATGGCTGCTTTGGGGAACAGCAGACCTAAGTGAGAGGATGGGAAACTGTGCTCCACCCACCCCACCCCCTACAGTCCCCAGCCCCACTGGGACTTCAGCCTGCCAAAGCCCTCCTACTCCTTGGGAACATTATTGAGCTGCTGGAGCAGGCCAGGGTAGGAGGGAAATCTGACCCCTCCACAGCAGCCACCCACCCCAGGGAGCATTCCTGGAGTCCCTCCTCCCCCTTCCTGGCTCCTCCCTGGTGGGGTAGAGGGGGGAGGCCTGCAGAGCCAGTGAGCCCTGAGCCAGAGGCTCTGAGTTAATAACAGCGCCACTTCCACTGCTGGCTCATCGACTGAGCTCTCACTGTGTGCTGAGCAATGTGCCATGTGCATACAGACATCATCGCGTTGAATTTTCACAAGAAGAGGCAGTTCTGTTATGCTCATACTCCAGGTGGGGAAATCAAGGCAAAAGGAGGTGAAGCAAATCCCCGAGATCAGGCAGCGTTGGGGCCTCAATTTTAACTGGGTCTGGCTTCTAAGCTGGTACTCTAGACCACCACGCTACACTGGCGCCCCTCTTAGAAAGCTTGCCCACCCAGGAGACCCAGTGTATGGGGTTACTTGAGAGGGCACCTTCCCCCCGTCCAACTCTGAGATAAGTACGTCTCAGTCCCAATTGAGGGGTACGCGCTGGTCCCTCCAGTTGAGGTTCATTGATCTGCAGTTCTGCATGACCACCACTGGGGGTCAGGCATCCACCTTACACTGTCTTAACCACCTTTCTCCCCAAGGACAACTTCCAGGGAAGGCGTGGAAGGGATGCCTGGAAGAAAGGAAGAAAGGTATGCCTCAAGTAGGCTTGGTCCTCTGCTTGCCCCCTCCCCCAACTCCCACTACCACAGGAAAAAGTCAATTCAGCAGCTAGTTTTGGTTTCTTACACCTTAGAGGTTACAGATTTATAGATGAAATCAGCAAATGTCTAAACTCCACACCTGGTGTTTAATATTCTTCCCCTCACTCACATCAGCGAAAAACAAAACCCAACTCACTGCCGTTGAGTCAGATCCAACTTATAGTGACCCCTCCTTGGGTTTCCGAGGTGGTGTCACTATGGAAGTAGATTGCCCAGTCTTTCTTCATTCAGCAGTCTGGCCTCCTTGCTGTCTCCTAAACATACCAACTCGGTGCTGTCTCTCTGCCTTTCCTCTTGCAGTTCCCTCTCCCTTTTTCCTACCTTGCTTATCTATCCTCC